GATTTTTTCAAATCGTGAGCACATTATTCGTCGGATTTTCGTTACTTAAATTTCCTGTAATCACTGGGACCAGAAGCTTCTTAATAATAGAACGTGTTTCACTGATATCAAAGATGCAACATTTGGAATCGCCTTCCCCCAACCCCCACTTTTTTAGCAGTACATTTTTTATGGCAATGGTAAGGAACCCCTGTAACGTCAAAAACGGAGTTTCAGCAATTGTTACTTGTTCTTTTTTGCCTATAGCACCCTTGCCATTGGACAAAAACTCCGAAGCTTTGGCATACTAGTAACCCCGTGTCGAAATTTTATAAAAATCCGAGCGGTAATTTCCAAGTTGATGATATAGTTATATGACTTAAAAAAACATAACATCTCATTTTAGAAATTTTTCGCGATAACGGCTTTAAAATCGAGGAGTATCTGCGATCGCGATTATGAGTACCTATTTGCAGAACGACTTATCTATGCGATATTATATGAAATAGGGCCACCAAATTATCTGAATACGTCCTTTCTTAGTCCGTACATTGCGCCGCAACGATTGGGTTGGCAGCACGAAACAGTAGACAAAATTCGTCCAAAATACGATTTGTAGAGATTTGCGCGCTTCGAAATTGACGCTTTATTTTTTGATATTTTTGAATGAAATTTTCATAGTGTGCTGAAAACAAAACCCCAAACGGTGCTATAGAGCCACTTTTTCATTTTTTTCACTAGATTCTTTTTAAAAAAATGGCGAAGTTAAACAGAAAAAGTGTGCACTTCAACCCATCATGAAACTTGTGCAAAAACAAAATTTCAAAAAGTGCTCCTATAGCACCCTGGGCAATTATCTTCTGAACATACTCTATGCATATCATTCAAAAATATTGAAAAATGGAGTGTCAGTTTCGAAGCAGCTGAACCATTGTAAATGGCTTGAAACTCACTGCGTCGGAGCCGCCTTAAGCCCATTGCTGGAATGTCCGCTCGAGTTCCGGACTATGTTGGTGATAATACTGAGTGACTTCGTAATTAACTAATTTCATCGTGACCGTCTTAGCTAATTAATTAATGTGTTTGATTAGGTAGCTAATTACGTTTCACTAATTAATGCAACAACGGCCAACCTGATAAGAAGGTTCCTGATATTTACCAACGAAACGGGTGTGGGACAAGATTGCTAAGTTTTCAAAATTCTAGATGGCCGTGAACTTGGAGTTCTACAGTGAAAAATGTTCGTCCCTTGTACCCAGAAGTGAACAAATATGGTACACTGGGGTAAAGGAACGTTGACTTTGAATACTGCACATGCTTGAGAAATAAAATACAAATAACTAAAAAGGATGAAGGTTTAATTTTGCTATCATGACCCATCTAAGAACACTTCAAATGTCAAAATGCGTCAACTCATTAAGCTGTAACCTGTGAAATAGGGATTTCAGGTTCAATTTTTTTTTATTAATGCCCGCCCTTTTGCTGTTATGAGATTTTAGAATGCCCGTTGTCAATCACTGTCAAGACAAGGCACACTTAACGTGTTTAGTAAACATCAACTTGAGAGAAAGGAAAAATGGGCGCCGGCGGATTCGAACCCGATTCTCATCGATTCCATGAAGCCGATCTGATCAATGATTCGACAGCGCCAGCTGGCAACCAACTTTCAGGATCGACTGTTAGAAGCAAATTGAATCCTACCCGCGTCACTGTTCCTTTGTTCTTTAAAGCTGCTTGATGCCCCATGCGAAAAACATATCCCTCATTCTGAGGCAGTCGAGTAGAAATCCTAGTGGCGCGGAGCTCAATTTGAAGTAGGTTAATGGACCATCTGGAGTCTTCGAGTGCGCAATTCCATGAGAAGGAGGGCGGAAGCATGCATACTAAGTGAAGAGTGCCATTTTCAACAATTTTTGTAATCATTTCGTTGATTTTAATGTTATTTTTATGGTGTCAGTTGTTGTTGTTCATTACCCCTAATGTGTTTAACTTTTCCAATTAAATTAATAATAATTTTGTTAAACAATAGAACGGTTTTTATTTTTTTAATCAAAAATGGCGTATCGAAGGAAAACAATTCAAGATAGATCGTTTGTTTTAAATTAAACGGGAAATTCAAAAATAATTTTTATTTGGCAAAAAACCATTGGCGTATTATTTTTTTCTTAAGAAATAACGAAGTCAATACCCGTGCACACGCCACTGTTAATGCTAAAAATTATTTTTGCATTGAGAAGTATGCAGCTTTATTAACTTTCACTACGTACTAAATATCAGTGAAATATCTGTAGCGGTTCTGAAAATATTAATTAATTTCCATTTTTCATATATCATAATATCGGAATTAAAAAATGTCTGTGATCGTAAACCCCCCGGATTTCTCACAACAAATTATTTTTTATTGAACAGTATAATTTTAGAATGATTATACGTCAAGACTCCCGTGCGGCCAGGAAAACAATATTATTGATTCCTCTGTTCCTAATTAGTCCAGGTAGTAGTATATATGCTCTAAAAAAATTCGGATTTTGATTTTCTTAATGATCTTAATCGAAAACGACCTGCTTGTTGCCAGTCCCATAATTGCGTCAAAATTTGTCAGTTTTGTATCCAAATTCCAAACACTATTTTTTTCACTCCAGTCAAAGTATTTCTGGGTTTTTTGGGATAATCTGAACAAAAAAAGTGCCCTAGAAACTCCCTCTAAAATTGATAGTTTTCGAGATATAAATATTTCAAAACTACTAAATATGCCACCTGCGACTCCAAAAACGATATGGAAAAACAAAATTTTAATGCTGTCAAGCTTCCTAAGTATTTATTAAACTCCATTAACAACATCCCAAAGCATTTTAGGAGGTATTATTATTGCAAACCTTTTTTTTCAGTTGCTAATCAAGCGCGCGCTCAGCAATATGAGTGGCAGCGCTTATGCTGAACATATATTAAAATATATATATATATATATATATATATATACAGGGTGTCCGCAAAGTTGGGGTTTTCCTTTACACGACGTGTAGATCTTGAAAACATAAGCAATTTTTCTTAGTACCATATACACCAATGTCTTAAGGGAACCGAGATAAAGGGCTCTGCAACATCAAAAATATCTGAATACCGTCCTGTAGCCGCGACCCGCGACATCACCGAGTGGTACAAGGTCACTGGCTCAACCTGACGACAGAACAGGGTCGGGGTCAGTGTATCAGGTCAGTATGCAACCTTCAACCGACGGTTACGGTCACGCGTGTAGAGGTAAACGAACTCGTATAATCGATTGCGTTTCAAAAAAAAAATAATAATGGCACACTCATACACCAATAATGAACTCGTTGATATGTTGTTAATTTACGGCGAATGTCTTCAAAATGCTGCAGAGGCTTCGCGAGTATATGCAGATCGTTTCCCTAGACGACATCATCCAAGGCCCCGCAGATTTGTGTACCTGATCCAGAAAGTCAGGGATACGGGCCATTTGGAGGAATTTCGAGGTGGGCACAGTGGGAGGCCTAGACAACCGCAAATGGTGCAAGTTGAGGAAGAACTACTGAACCGCGTAGACGAGAATCCCTCAACAAGCACTGGAGACGTGGCTAGAGATGTGCAAGTATCAAAAACTAAAGTGTGGCAAACGCTGCGTGAAGAGGGGCTGTATCCGTTTCACATCCAACGCGTACAAGCCCTTCAACCTGACGATTTTCCAGCAAGAGTACGGTTTTGTGAGTGGTTGTTGCATCAACATGACAATAATCCGGACTTTCTGAATTGGTGACAGACGAATCTTCGTTCACGCGTAATGGGTTGAATAACTTTCGCAACACTCATGTTTGGTAAGTAGAAAATCCGCACGCTGTCCGTCGGGCACATTTTCAACAAACATTTTCGGTGAATGTTTGGGCTGGCATGGTGAACGGTATGCTCATTGGACCATTTATTCTCCCAAATCGATTGGACGGGATGCAATACCTAGACTTTTTACGCAACATTTTGCCTTCCTTGTTAGAAGATGTGCCATTAAGTGTAAGACAATCAATGTGGTTTCAGCACAATGGTGCACCGCACCATTTTAGACGCGAAGTGCGTGAGTTTTTAAATCAATTATTTCCAAATAGGTGGATCGGACGTAATGGACCCGTAGCGTGGCCTCCGCGATCTCCAGACTTAACATCATGTGATTTTTTTCTTTGGGGAGAAATGAAACGCTTAGTGTACAAAACTGAAGTGCATACGGTTGACGAACTTCGTCTCAGAATTGAACAAGCTGGTGCTTTCATCCGGGGGAGGGACTCCATTCTCAAAGCCTGCACCGATGCTTGGCTACGTTGTGCACGCACCTGTGTTTTTGAATCAAACGGCGATAACTTCGAACAATACCTATAAAGTACGTTTACCTAAAAACTGAAAACGCGGCATCGCCGTCATATTTGTTACCTCTGTTCGTGGTCTGCACCACCGCCTGCGTCTGCTCGGTAGCGCATCAACTGATTTCATTTTCTGTTGGAGCGGTATGATTTCGGGCAGAGACGTACTTAGCCCTTCTCGTCAACTGGAGAGTGAGTACTTTTTCCTTTATTTTTTTTTACTTGGTCGCCCTCGTTTCACTACACATTACCTTTGTTATTTCAAGGGTAGTTGTTTCTGAAAAGGACAACCCCCAACTTTGTATAATTAAAAACAAAGTTTTAAAATATTAATGCTTTGGTATTCCAGTAATGGAGGTTTGCACAATATTTAGTTTTCTTATACTGTTTTTCGGGGTCGAAATATGCATATTTTGCACTTTCTGAAATATTAAGTCCCTTATATCTCGACAACTATCAACTTAAGAGAAAAGTTCTAAAGCAAAGGTTGCTCAGAATATCCTACACAACCCTAAAAACACTTAGAACGAAACGAAAAGACGAATTTCTTTTAAAAAACATTAAAAATATTTTTTTCGCAATTTTCAGCCTGGCAACATGCAGATTCGTTGAAAGAGGTCCTTTTGAATAAGGTTATAAAAAAATCAAAATCAGAATATTTTTTCGAGCAGATGCAAATACTACCTGGACTAATTACTTAATCATAGTGACAAAATATTACCCAGCAGTTTTTACCACGCTATAGTTCTAGGCCATTGCTATGATAGTGTCAGCAAAACGTTTTATACATGTGGTAAGTGCACCATTTCAGATACTATTTTCAAACAATGTATGATCGACCAAAATTTCAAATTTATAATGGTGAGTCCAGTATGTAAAATACCAACAAATTTGAATAGGTTAATGCCTATATGTTTATATGGCAGATTTGTCTGGAACTTAACTTCGATTTAGTGCAATCTTTCAAAGTGGCATGCCAATACATTCTCTGGAAAGAATATTCAAGCAGTCAATCGTGCAGAATGTACTTAAGTACAGCGGGGCAGAAATACTATGTAAAATAAATTTGTCAGTACTTTTGTAGATGAACTTTTATTAATGCATCAGCAACAGTTGGTTACAGGGGATTAAGTAACGAAATGAGTACAGAGAATGGTCGACGACCGGTTTTATATCTCAAGATAACAATTTTCCAGAAATGTGTCGGGTGAAAATGCAAGCTTCACATCCTGTCTCACGAGTATAGAACGGTATTATACTCGTTGGGACTTGGATGATGTTAATGTTATCAGAATACCATAACTCCTCCCCACGGTAAAAAGATTCGACTCGAATCAGAATAATTAAGTTAAAGGTATTTACTCAGCTGGTTGAGAAATTGGAGGCGTGGGTGGAACTTTGGTGTCCTTCACATAACGATATTTTACAAATACAATAATAAAGATGATTAAAAATATGAGAATACAAACCAAAATAATAGGATACCCTACGGTAGATCTATAATGTAAATTTTGAAATTTGACTTGCAAAGAAGTAAGGTTTTGATGCAAATAAGAGTTCAATGAAACATTTGTTTTCTGAAAATGATATTGTGTACCTGTTGCTGCATAAGCTAGGTCTAGCTTAATTTGCAATGTAGTATCAAATTCTAAAATTTGATGATCGACTAAAGTATTACATTCTAAAATAATATGTGTTGCATAATGGATCAAAGAAGTACCTTTACAGTCTCTTATCTTTGTTAATTGATTAGTATTAATTACATAATTATTTTTATTTAATTCTAATATTCTCGTGTAGTTTGTTATGCTTTCAGACTCACACATGTTGAACCTCTGTGGTTGACAGGGAGACTGGAAAGTACTTTTACAAACGTACAGTTGATTACTTAGCTTAACAATGTCCGAACAGTAATAATTCTTTTCATAAGTCAATAAATGCTCACTTGGTAACATAATAAGTTCATGATTAATAGAAATTGCAAATAATTTATACAATGTAAATTCCTTAATATCTAAAATGGGAAACTTGATTACAAATATAAATTCATCTTCTAAACAGATAATAGACATTGGAGAGAGGTCATAGATTTCGAATAAATGAATGGAATCAAATGGCAGCAACTGTTCCTTTTTAAAAATGTTTTGTAGATGTTCAATAAGTAAACTTACTTGATGATGCCTTAATTGCAAAGTATTGAGACCAGATTGTTGGTTCAACTGAATGGCAAGTAATAAAGAATTTAGATAATTGTTAAATTGTTGCATGTTAGTAATAATGGAAACTTGATGTATCATCTGATGTGAAAGTAAAGTTTGCTTTTCAATAGTCTGAGCATTGTATTTATAAAATAACAGACTGAATACGTTTAGTATTTTCTTCAAAAGTTTTCTGTAGAGACTGACAAAAGGAAATAGTCTTTTGCTGATTAACCAATAAGTCATCTTGATTATTTCTGAGAGCTTCTTGATTCTTAGTAATTTGTTCTAAATTACTAATCCATTAATTAAACCTCTTCTTACTCTGTGTTGAGTGAGAGTTTCAAATTTGGACATGGTATCATTATACAGATTTCTAATTTGATTGTCTAAAGTTGTGGGAATCTTTTGATGAATTTGAATTAGATTTTGAAAGAGTTCCATGGTATGGCGAATGTCAGTGAGATTAATAGTAAAGTAGACCTTATGATAATGATCAATTAACTTAGCATTTCCTAAACGGATTTGCTGGATTGGTTGCAAGTAACTTTCGGAGTGGATGTTGACGGTAGTGATTGTGGTAATGCATCTGAAACAATACGAGGCGGTTTGAGTTTCTTGATCATATGAGTTCTGTTTTTAACTTGGATTTTTTCACCATTTTGAAGATAGGACATAACTTTATTATATTTGGGAAGGTTTTTGGGACGTCTAGTATGATCTTGTGGTTGCATAAAGACTGGACCTTTGAAAATAGGGATTTTGGAAGGTTTAATACGCGAATTTCGCTTTTCATTAATAGCTTTACTTTTGTCATACATTTCTTGGGCTAATCGAACATGTTTTCGTTTTTGGAACTTCTGAAATTCTTCATGAGTGGCAATGGATCATTATGGCCATAAAGTAAGTCAAAAGGGGTTCTCTTGGTTTTGGAGTGAATGGATTGATTGTAGATGAGTAATGCATCTAAGAGGATATCAGTGGTTAAGTCTGATGGACGTTCAATTCTCAATGTTCGGAATTTTTCACCTAGAGTTAAATGGAAGCGTTCAATTGGGGAAATAGACGTAGCATTGGCAGTAGAACCAATGTGAAGGAGAATACCGTGTTCTTTGCAATAATCTTTAATGAGATTTGAATTTAATTCACCAGGATCGGCATGAATCGCTTTAGGAAAGGCATGATGTGCAAAGAAGTGTTTCAATTTGCTAAGGATAGTAATTTGATTGGAGGAGACTAAATGGTAAGCTTGGGCGTATTTTGAAAAATGATCAAAGAACGTGAGATACTTGTTCTTCTCAATAGTGAAGACGTCAATAAACATTAATTGGAATGGGGCAGTGGAAAAGAAGGGACCTTGAATAGGTTGAACTAAAGGATGTCGTTCGTATTTTGCTTTGAGACATGTTTCACAAGTATTTATATAATCTGAAATAATAATCTTGTCTCGAGGAGTATAAATTAGTATTCTAAAGTGTTCATAAGTTTCGTTAATTCCGTTGTGGTTTTTGGAATGATAGAGTGAGATTTGTTCTCTGAAAGTATCTTGTTCTAAATATTGGGGCTTAAAAGCGGCTTTTTCGAAACGGACTTTATGGGAAATTTTGTCTAGGACTTTGTAGAGAGCTGACGTGAAGTTTTCGTCATCATACCAGATTCCGTATCTTGTAGAAGTGGAACATTTGTTTGCCAAGAGGTTAGCAAGAGGATCTAATTGAAAAGGATCAGCATAAACATCAAAACAATTACGAGAGTGGGTAACAACTTTGAATTTGTCTGACTTAATGAAATAAATTCGATTAGGATATGAATAGAAGTTTTTATCTTCTGAAATGGTAATAAGAGTAGGATGCGAATCGGGACTTGAATGTTGGGTATTGGTAGATCGGTTATCGACTTCTACAGGGTTTTCTAAAAGATCGGGGATCATTGAAACATTTCCGTAGAGGGAATCAGTGGAATTAGAAAGTGCATTTATTTCAACTCGGGAAAGGGTATCGGCAACATAATTTTCTTTGCCTTTCTTGTATTGAATTGTATAATTGTATTCTTCAAGTTTTAAGCGCCATCTCGCGAGGCGTTGATTTGGTTCCTTTAAATTGGATAACCAAACGGGAGGTTTGTGGTCAGTTTCGATCACGAAGGGGTTTCCAAATAAGTAAGGGCGGAAGTGTTTGCATGAATCTACGATAGAAAGTAATTCCTTTTCGATAGTAGAATAATTGCGTTCAGCTGAATTCAAAATTCGGGAATGAAATGAAATGGGTTTTCCATTTTGGGAGAGGACTGCACCAATGGCTATGTTAGAAGCATCGGTGGTGAGTGTAAAAGGCTTAGAGAAGTCGGGGTATGTCAAAATTGGAGGGTTACATAGGAGTTTCTTAATGATATCGGAAGCAGTAAGATATTCGGTGGACTCAAATGGGATTTTCTCACCTTTTCTCAAACATTTCGTGAAAGGCTTGGAAAGTGAAGCGAAATCTTTAATAAATTTTCTATAATAATTGGCGAGACCTAGAAATGACTGAACCTGCTTAATTGTTTTCGGTAAAGGATAGTTGAAGATGGCTTTAATTTTCTCAGGATTAGGCTTAATACCATCGGGTGTAATGATATGGCCTAGGAAAGGGACATCCTTACGTAAAAACTCTGTCTTGTCGAGTTGAATTTTCAAATTATAGAAAATGAGACGTTCAAAGATTTGCTTTAAATGAATCAAATGTTCTTGGAGCGATTTGGAAAATATGATATAATGTCGTCAAGATATACAAAGCAGGATTTTCCAAGAAACGGTAGAAGGACAGTGTTCATCATGCATTGAAAAGTCGCAGGGGCATTTTTGAGACCGAAAGGCATTCGAACGTATTCGTAATGCCCGTTCTCGACAGTGAAGGCAGTTTTTTCAATGGAACGAGGATCCATGGGAATCTGATGGAATCCTTGCGCTAAGTCTAGCGTCGAAAAATATTTGGCTTTACCTAAGTTCTCTAAGATTTCATCGGTACGGGGTAAGGGATATTTATCCTCAATAGTAATATCATTCAACTTACGGAAATCAATTACCATACGGTATTTCTTAATACCTGAAGCATCGGCTTTTTTCGGGACAATCCAAACAAGAGAAGAATAAGGGGATGTGCTAGGACGAATAACATCATCGTGGAGAAGTTTGGAAACTTGTTTCTGAATTTCTTTCTTTAGATGATAAGGATATCGAAAAGACTTTACGAAAATTGGTTCGTCAGTAGACGTGCGGATAAAGTGTTTGGTAGCTTTACAGGCTTCTAACTTTTCATTAGGCTTGAGAAAAGCTTGGGGATATCGAGAACAAAGATTAATGATCTTCGATTTCTCTTCACGATTCATGTGACCGGTACGAATTAATTGAGACATTTCATTGAATCTGATAGATTCCGAAAGTTCAGTAATTTCATACTCTGAAAGGGGTTCATACTGCATGTTGTTATATTCAACATACTGTAGATTTTCTGGATAAAGAATTCTATTCTTTACAATGGGACAAACATAACTTGGGGTGTAAGAATTAGAATCAACATATTTCATGGGAAATACAATTGCAGATGAATCTTGAATTTCTGTAAGAATAGTATCGAAAATTTGGTTTGGGATCCGTTGAGGATCTCGATGCGTGTGGCATAGGATTTCAAAACGTTCGATAGAAAGAAAATTATGAGGGATATCGAAAGTACTATGGAATTTTTGTAGATCATGATATCCTAGAAGACAGTCGTATTTCTGATGCCAGGGTAGTAAAAGAAATTCTACCTCAATGGGGATACCTAAATCGTTAAAAAGAAGGATTCTACAAGCGTGCGTACCATTTTTCGTATCGATAGCAGTTTTGATTGAAAAGTTCTTTGGAAAAACGTAGTCAGGAAATTTTGAATAAGCAATTTGAGGATTCAATAATGAAGCGGAAGCACCTGTATCAATTAAAATGAGCAAGTCTAAAATGTCATTATAAATGTAGGCCAAGTGGACTTCTTGATAATGATTCAAATCTATTCTGGGGACGTTGAGAGGCTGTCCTGTTGAAAATTTTCGTTTTCATTAGGGATTTGCGGTTCTACATTCGAATGATCATATTCGAAATAATCATAATTGGAGGGATCGGAATATCCGTAGTTGGGGTCATAGTAATCTGAACTTTTCTGGGGGTCTTGGAATTCGTTATTAGTTAATTCTTCGGCAATAAAATTTGGACGTTGGCCGTTATTTGAAAAGAAATTTGGCCGTACAAATGGACGTTGTTGGGGATTCTTGCTTTGAATAGTAGAAGTAGACATAGGAGTAGGCTTGTAAAGAGCATTAGGATTTCTTGAGAGAGATTGATTAGGCTGATTAAATTGCGGTCTAGGGAATTGATTTTGTTGACCGAATTGTGGTCTAGGAAATTGTTGAGGAAAAGGATTCCTCTGAAAGTTTTGTTGTGAAAAATTGTTATTGGGACGAGCAAAGTTTTGTCGATAGGGGGGTCTTAGATTAGAGTGATTAGCATGAGGGACATTAGGTCTATGAAAAGATGTGCTGGGTTTTGGGGTATGGAAATTAGTGTTACTAGAAAATGTAGAGGAATCTTTAGCACGAATTATAGTCAATGCATTGTCCTCTTCTTCACACATTTGCAAAGCATCTTGTAAAGATGAAGGTCTGATGGATCTGAGGCGATCTGAATAAGGATTTTTGACACCTAATATGAATGAGGAAAGAGCTAAACTTTCGTTACGTTCAATAAGGACGGACTTAATTGCTCGCTCTGAATGAGTAAGACTTATGCATTCATTCATTTCTTTCAATTTATCTAAAATTCGTTCATAAAATTGACGGTAAGTTTCGTTGTTGCTACGCTTTAACATAGTCATTTCATTTGATAAGACTGTTTCATTTTTAGTATTCTTATAATTTCTAACAAGAACATCACGAGCTTCGACCCATGAAGTGGCACCGTGATTTCTGACCTTTTCAAGAGCTTGATCTCGAATATTTAACATGACCAATTCGACTGCAGGCTCTTCGAATTCTGTGTTTTGAAATTTTGAAATGAACAACTCACTTTATAAATAAAGGTAGACAAATTACTTTGGTTAGGAGAAAATTTTGGCAGAGAGTCTTTGAGACTCCTGAATCGTAGTTCAAGCATTCTGTAACGTTCATTACCATTTGGTTGTGCCATTGTGATTTCAGAATTTGAAATATCTGGTTCAAGAGAAGAATCACTAGAACTAGAACTTAAATGTGGATAAGTGTAAGGGGAGTATGAAATCTCTCTAGTAAATCGTCTAACAAGAGGCATAAAAATACAATCTTAAAACTAGCAATCAAAGATGTAGCAAAATCAAATATTTTTACAAATAATTCGTCTTGTTTTCCAAATTTTATCTCTTCCTTGTACAATATCAATTAATTGCAAAATCTTCTTTCTTCTTTAATTTCTTCAATAAAAATCTTCTTATTCTTAATAAGTTTCTTAAACTACTTACAATGACGTGATCAGCATCGATGTCGTCAAGGGACCCATTCGTTCTGTTTTCCGGCTGTTCTGGATGCAAAAGTTGTCTCCACAAAGGTACTGGAACTTGCGTGGTCTTACCGGCCACTAGGATGAAGTTGAAACAGGAACTTGAGAGGTCTTACCGGCCTCGGAGCCCGTTCACAGGTTTCAGTAGCGATATCCAATTGCAAAAGTTTGAAAACTTTTACCTTCAAGTTCAGCTGGCTTCTCAATGAATCTTCGTGATTTCTGACTAAGTCACACTACTCGATGAAGGCTGGGTATCCTGTTCGCAGCGCCAAATAAATTTGTCAGTACTTTTGTAGATGAACTTTTATTAATGCATCAGCAACAGTTGGTTACAGAGGATTAAGTAACGAAATGAGTACAGAGAATGGTCGCCGACCGGTTTTATATCTCAAGATAACAATTTTCCAGAAATGTGTCGGGTGAAAATGCAAGCTTCACATCCTGTCTCACGAGTATAGAACGGTATTATACTCGTTGGGACTTGGATGATGTTAATGTTATCAGAATACCATAACTTGTACTTCGTTGTGAATTGTGAAATGTCAAAGAAACGAAAATAAATATCTATTAACGGTACAGCGTATGAACAATTCTGCTTGATTCGTAACTTTGGAGGGTGAAAAATACAAAAAAATGTCTCCATCAAACAGCAGCAGTGGTAGAATAGTTGATATTGGAAATACTGGGACAGTTTGCTTGAATTCTTCTCGCTTTTTCTAAATAATTATGGTCCAAGCAGATTCTTTGTTAAAAACAAACACCTACTTGAGCATAGTATGAAAGTTACTATGATGCCATTGTCACTATATTGACCCAGTAAAAAGATTTGGAAGTGACAATTAAATTATTAAACATAGTTTTTTTCTGGGCTTCCTCAATAGAATCCCGTGGCACTAAAATAAGAAAGCGTCATAATACTATTTATAACGCGAAAGTAAATACCTTTCCCAAAAACTTTTAAATTCAAAATGAAACTTGTTGAGATTCCAAGTTATACTTTCGATTGGTCTTTTTCAGTAACCAGAAAAGGATTAAATTAAATCAAAATTACCTCAAAATTGTCCGAGTTTGTCAGAAAAATACGAATTGAACGCAAAATGTACTGTCAAACTGACGGCTTAAGCCTGGCCGAATTATAGTATGCACACATCCTGACTACTGACTACATAATTTTAGTTCAAAACAAGTCGTATGCAAGCTCCTTCCACTTCGCCCGAATCCGTCGGTATATCACAACTTTTGGTGGTTTTGTTTTATGATGATGAAATGAGTTATCTCACACGCAAAAATATGAATGAGATAGATACTTGATACGCACTCTAATTCCGTTTTCTTCCTTAAATTGGTTTCATCACTATTTGTATAAATTATACTGATCGCTTTTTCCAGACGACAGACTTCGCAACTGGAAAAATTGAAAATCCGTAATATATTGAGGCTTGTACCATACATGACAGATTCCAACCATGTTTTGAGGACAACTCTAACGGTAAGAGTTATTTGGATCATATTTTGGAACTGATGATCATGAACATGTCATGATGACTTCTGAAATATCTTTAAAATGATTAATAAACCAACACTTCTATATGAAACATATATGGAGTCGATCCTCATGAGGCTTTATTCAATTGACATACCTGTATTAATTGCTGGAGAAAAGTGTAGCTCCTTTAAACAAAATCTACTAAACACACAGCTTTCGGTCTAGGTCAGGAAATAAGTAATTTTTTACTACAATTTTGGCGACTGTAAATTCTTGGTGGTATCGTTAGATTATTGCTTCCTAACAACTTCAATTTGGCGTCATGATAGGGCTGGAATATTTTCCGCCAATATGAAAAACGTGAATGTTCGACATTCTCAAAAAACATTGATTATATGTAAAAAGTAAGAGAAACAATTTTATAGGGAATTATATAGGTATTCCTTATCATTTTGCTTCTATGAATATTTATCGTATAGTCAATAGGTTAGCAGAAATTTAAGGGTAATATTTATGTAATGATATTTTACTTTATAAAACTAAACTAACAACCTAAACTTAAAAAGACTACTGCTCGTTTTTGTAAAGAATAAAATTATCTACAAAAGGGGTTGTTTACGTTTTTCCGACACCTTGATGATAGTTCACTGTCACCCAAATTGCAAGATTTCCTTATACAAAATCTCCATATTTCTTGGCCTTATCTATCGAAGGACATACAGATATCGACAATCATACGTCACATAACCACACTGCTTACTCATCGTAAGAAATATATCATTTATTGAAATGCATAAGCAAAAATTAAAGAATAACCTCGAGGGCATTCACCAAGTGGTGCGGAATGTAGGTATCGAAAGTATTGGTATAGAAATAATTTTGCAGTATGAAACCTCTGTATGAATTGAAAAAACTGATGTAGATGAAACCTGTTATTGTTAAAATACGTTTAAATAAAGTAATTTTATGTGAAAACACTTTCCTATACATATAATTAATCCTTCAAGTGCGTGGCAATTAACTAAAGTGATCTTGTAAATACAAAATGATCAAATATACGGTTCTAGGTTGATATGTGCAACTATCGAAGTTTTTGTTACCTCAAATGTAAATTTTCCTATGACCTTACACATTTGAGAATCTGAACCCCATTTGCACAAAAAATCAAATTCAAAGTAAATATTAAAAGTTACTGGACACAGGAGATTGTTCATTGATTAAAAACATCGATATACCGGTAAATACAGTAAGAAATAGCGTCAAGCATATTGACTCACTACAGCTGGCAAAACTCTTATCAAGAGCAGAGTTCTTATGATCTGCTATAACATGCAATTACGATAAAAGATATAAGAAGGTCACTAATATGAGTGGTTCTAGCGTACATGAAGTGGATCTCTGGGATCCCCGAGGATGAACTCAGAACTATTCGGGAGCAACCCGGGGAAGTTGGAGTCCCTGAGCAAAGGTATTCATTTAAAAAGCATGGTGCTTAATAGACCAGCTAACCAGAAATGTATCTTGTTATAGAACGAATGGATTTTACAACGGAATTATATTTTTAGGGGTCCCACCTTAAGCCCCTCATTTAGGAATACAACAAAATTTGCTGCGTAACTTTTCTATCAAACGCAAGATGAAATCGCATTTCCATATTCAAAGTGAAATCTATAAAGTAATGTCATTTGTGGTCCACAGAAAAATTTGTGCAGCGGTTACATCCCTGTAAAGCTCGTCCAGAAAGAGCATTAACCTCAAAACAGTTGGTAACATGGCATTTTCAGAAACTTTTGAGCTTCTTTCGTGTTTTTCCATGCTACTCACTACAAGGGCTTCAACTTTCGACGATTACTTCAGACTTACTATTGCGTACTTTTCGGTAAAAAAAAATGAAATTCGATTAAATTTGCAATAACAAATTAACCGCTGTAGCAAATTGTATATAGGGTACTTTGAGGGTTGTTCCGCTTCCTTCATGTTTTCTGTAGATCAGTTACCAATACTACGCAGCTTTTTGAATAGACACCAAGAAGTGGTTTTTCCAACTTTGACGTATAATACAAAAAGTTATCCTGCAAGAATTTATTTCCAGTATTTCCATGTACTCTCACAAATTTACTTCTGTTGTAAGATCCAAAATAAATGTTTTCTCAAAATTTAGATATCCTGATCTATGAGAGGACCATCCATAGCAATCCACTTAATAGAGGACTACCCAGATAATTAAGATATTAGTTTTTAGCGACCTCAGAATTTCATCTTATCACTACCGATGTAATGGAAAAATCAATTCAAATTGTATTCTACCCACGCATTTGTATCATTGAACGAAATCACTGCAGAAGGTTAAACAAGCGTTTAGCAATGCATAGTAATTACAATGTTCATGTGTCAACGTAATTTGTTTTCAAGTAGATACCAGGATACTAGGGGACAAAACTAAGAGGACGGGACGACGCAGTGTGCTGTGAAGATTCGACTGAGACACCAAAGCAACCAAAGCACTGTCTGCAATAGATATGCCGATTAAGAATAGTCATGATAGTTCGATGGAAGAACTGAAGGAATTGATGAATGGTGAGTCAAGTATGAAATCAATTATGATAATCCTACAACCTTTCTATAATTCGCAATTTCAATTTACGCATGGCAAAAATAAGTAGTCAGAAAGAAATTCCAGATTTTGCCCAAGCCCCTTCTAGATTTTTTTATAAATTGGTAAACCGCATTTATATTTTTGTTCTGTAAAAACCGCAAGACGGAGCAATACGATTAGCAAGATCACTAAGTTTTTCTGCTCTGGGAAATCCTATCAGTTCGGGTGATCCCACGAGAAGACCTGCAAGATTGCAGGTAAGCACGAGTTTTTTAACATCTCTAGGAAAATCCCAAAAGATTAAAGTAGGTCAAAATTTCCGTTTTCTTCATCTGTTGTTGCAAGCGAATAATATGAGCGTCCAAAACAACCAACCAGGAATCGAATTTTCATTCAAATCACTTATACACAGAAGTTTAAGCAATGCTTTTACTTCCCGCGCATACTGCCGAGGAAGTACTGGGATCATGAAATATTTATGGCAGCCGAGCTACGGGGCAAAAAAGCGAAAAAAATAGAAATCGTTGAAGCTACGTTTTTTTACGATTCAGAGGCTCTTGATCATTTCAGGAAAACATATTAGAGGGTTTAACAATCAGGAGTTAAGGGTTGTGGGGGTTGGGATGTGGTATATCTTAATTTTTTATCGTTGGTATATTCATATGCCTCCAACCACGACGATTCTACGTGCATGTTAGACATACTTAACTCAGCATAGATTTCCCCGCACATTTACTCTTAGCCATGGGCAGGTCGATTGACGTTCGTCGCGGTCTGTACTGCTGTAGGCTGTACAACTACTCAATATCGTCATTAACGCGGGATGTGCACCCGCAGGAATTTTTTTAAGGGGGGAGGGGGAGTGTCATTAATTGCATAGATAACTTTGTGTGAAGGCCTACCTTCCAAATTTTTTTAAGAACAGGGCTAGCATATTTTTTCGTAGGGAGCGAATCTTAAAAAGCCCCAAAATTGTGCACAAAAGCAGGCTAGATATGCAAATCGTAATTATATGACCATGTTTGAATGAGTCAGTTCATTTGATTTCTCGTTATACATGTCCGTAGCTAACTTTTTTCTCAGTGGGGCTAACTTGTATCTAACATAATCCTTAATGAACTGATTTGAGTTGAAAGTAAAGAGTCAACCTTCTCAGTGGCGACGCGTGACTTCTCCTAAACTGTTACCAAACCCAAATGTGAAAAATCTTATTAAAAAAAGTTTATTTTGAACATCCCAAATATAAGTTTTTGCTTATTTTAGGTATTTTACTTAAACTATTTTTAAATTAAAGTAAAGATTCCTGGACTGAGCGTCTGGGGCACTTGATATACCTCATAGTCTTTTGCTATGACTAATCCAAGCCGTCCGAAAAAACAGTCGACGTTCCTAGATGTTCGGAAAATTTTTGATTTTTTTGGAAATGAATATTAACAATTCCCTGTAATTTCCTCTATTGTCAGAGTCCTCACCTTCAAAATGAACGGTAATTCCTGTTTTGCCAAAAAACATACGGTATCTAGAAGTGAGCTGCCTAACAGCTTGGTTAAGACAACATTCGATTCTTGTTTTGCCCAACTGCATTAAATTGGCTACACATCTCACATGTAACGGAGAAATTTCATGTCTCCTCTTTAGAGCTCTAAAACTACTTAAATCGCTGACTCCGCTGCTGGTCCACCCATTTTTTTCTGTATAAAACAGAAGACATCGCCAACAATACAATCTGTTTTTTTTGTAACCTCATAACCAAGAGTTTCCATATACCAACTTAATTTAAAATATCAAATTACGTTTTTTTATTCCTTTTTAAAATTATCTAAAATAGGTGTTGGTCTTCCATATTCAATTGTCTCCTTCTTTTTTCTTAAAAATTATACAAGGAGATTGATTTTTCACGTAGTTGATCGATTACACAGCGACATTCATCCATGTTTAAGTGCACGCTCACTACAGCCGGTAACCAAAACGGCTACGAACGAGTGATAAGTGAGTAACCAAATCAAAAAGAGGTGACAAGCCCACATAATAGTCGCAGCGCCCCACGCACTACTGCGACCGCGATCAGACACGAGCCGGCACCGAAGGTCCTCGACGGACTACCAAGTCCATAAATGAAAATGGTAACAACCGACAACCAAGTCAGCTTCATCGTGTTCGCAAAGCCTAGACACTATAGGGCGCATTATTTTCGTGGGGCTAATTTGCTATTTACTGAATTACTATTACATATCGTTGTTGGTAAACAAATAAATGAAATTATTTCACAGTACTTCGTCATAAAATATTCATTTTTAAGATTTTTAACTGTTACCATTGGTAACAATGGTTACATGGACGCTTCTCCACTGAACCTTCTTGACACCATTTTTCCATAAACAAGGTATTTGTGTCAAATACCTCCCGATACAAGTAATAGTACCTAACCTAAGACAGAAAATATACAGAGTTTTGATAAAAAACTACACTCAATGCAATGTATTTTTACCTGAAATTGGAAAAAATGTTAGTATAGTTTATACAGAAAAGTACTTTAGCTGTTACTGACAGTATTAAGAATCTTAGAGTGACATTTGATTCGATATGAAGTAGAACTCGGCTGAAAAACTGAATACGTAAAGGTTATTCTGCTCTCTCGTATTTATATTACGACGAAAACACTGTTATTGCTGTCCAAAATCTTACTCTAATTTATAACAACACTCGCAACTAATTTATGAAAAATTTATAACCATGTCGACTGAACCATCGCGTTTTGTGGGAACGCATCGGTAGATGTTTCTCGATGGGTGTCTAGAAACATCGGTCTTGATCCACGACCGCGTAACTCGCATGGCTCAGCCTACATAAATTTTGTTTTGTTTATTGGTGTCAGTCCATAAGATTTTAAACTCGTCATATCCATTGTACTTACGTAGTAAGCTATCTTTTTGGTTGGATGCAGATTAGGGTGTCCTAAGAAAGTAAGAGTTCTTTTTTTCAAACGCATACCCTCTAATTTTGCTTGAACAATCTCAAAACAAATTTAAATAAAGTTTTATGTACCTAAAACCATGGCAACCCGTGCCGATTTGCGTTGGAACATGTCAAAACTTGCATACTAAACGTAGTATTTTCATTCAGTCAACATTTCGAAGGAATTACGCAATTCTAAAAAGGGAATATTTTTAATATGTGGGTGTAAAGCATCAAATAGCCGGTTCAAAACTTCCCTCTAATGGAAAAGTACTAGAAGTTTTATTCTATAATACCCGGGAAGTGGAATTAAGTGTCACTGAGAGCGCCAACCTTCCTACCTTACGTGAGTGCATTATTTACTTGGAAAAGGCACGTATACCTACCAAATATCTACCTATAGTCAAAATCACGAAAGATGAATATTACGTCATACCATAAATTGTTCTGAAGTATACAATGGACGTACATCGATGATAAAATCACGATGTCAGGAACATAATGACAACAATTTTATATTATGAATTTGTGAAGTTAAATTATTTCACTGACTATTTTTATTTTCATTTATTTCATGGTTTTGAGTGATACCTTAATAATAATTTTAGTGGGGAGTTTTTGTTTTGAAAAAAAAAACAGTTCTGAGTAGAATTCCTTAAGACGGGAACACCAAAGACCAAAGTATTATTCGAAAACAACCTAACCTGCTTTAACATAACCTAACTATTCATCTTTCAAATATGATCGGTCATGCAACATGAAAACATCGTCTATCTTTGTCAGATACATTCAAATTAGCAATACAGTTTGTTTAGACAATAAAATTCTGTTTGTGTCTATCTAACATATCTGAAACTTCATTAAAAATATTCACAAATCGCTGTTGTCTTTACTATACTACAACTATTTAAAACTGTAATGACTCATACGCGTGATCAACACGTGATCAGAGCTCGATCCCGGCTTCCTTCCAGTACAGCCGTATAGCGTACGACATATGTCGTTTCTGTGGCTTTGCGGTGGTCAACAGCACAGACAGAGATGGAAATAATGGCTGATTGTTCTCCGCCGGTAGAACCAATGAAATCAAAGACGCGCCTCGACCGGCAGACTCATAGGCGTCGGCTATACAGACTAAAATGATGACGTAATCGTCATCTTTCGTGATTTCGACTAATGTGGATACCAAATAAAATCCGATGCACGTCATCGATCTGGAGCTGTGCGCTGTTGCCAGAATTTGCACATTTTCTTTTAAGCAAATAAATTTAATAAAATAAATTGTTTATATATACCTACCATTTACTATAATACCATTATATTAAAAATAAGTAAACTTGTTGTAAAATTAAATTCCTTTCTGAATAAAAACACCTGATTTGGTAGATATTCAAAAACACAAAATATTTAAAGAAGATAAATTGTTTTCTCGTATTTTAATTAATTTGATTATTTATTTATGATATGGGAACTACAGCACTTTTTCAATTCACATCAAAGAGAAGAAAGAACTCGGGCGATGTTACACAATACCGGCAACTAGCGGCAAGGAGTACTCTTTATCGAGCCTGATATTAACCGCTTGGTATGGTTCAGTTGTATATCAATTCCGGAGTTTTATTACATTATACAGAATATATTTTGATGTTTTAACTATTCTGAATCACTGGAATCAGTAGAGTCATCGTTAACATGGATAATAAGGGGAAGAATTTCCTGTCTATCCATTACTTGTTCCCTTCTATACCAATTCATAACTATCTCCTCTGTCTAATGGAGTTCTTCCACATATCAGGGGTAATAGTTTGGAGTGCCTCTTGCCACATTTATAGGCAGTCATTTTCAGTGTGGCCATCTCTTCCAATATGCCGATTATAGTAATTTTTTGCAATACCCCAAATTAGCTCAATTGGGTTAAAAATACAGTGGTATGGAGGTAACCGTAAAACTTTATGTCCATATTGTTCTGCCAAGTTATCGACCACATACATTTTGGTTGGTTTATTCCTAAAAAAAATAAATAGGAACAAAATGCATAAAGATTGGGTATTCTGCTCACTGTGCAACAATCGTTAGAAGTTCAGATTTGAATGCTTCATGTGGATACTGTATTTTTTGTTCAGTTAACCAATTCTGAATTTCAGCCTTTCTCCATGAGCTATTGGGAATTTTTACTAATAACATGCTATGGTATGATGCATTATCCATAACAATCACAGAGGGTTGGGTCAAGCTTATTAGTAATTGATTTTCAAACCAATATAAAAAGTTTTGCTGGTTCATTTCACCATGGTAATCATTAAGCTGGGTTTTCGATGAAAATATGAGCGACGCACCTTCAACAAATCCATTTTCATTGCCAGCGTGAACTATGATATACCTACAAATGCATTTCATTTTTATATAGAGCTTATTTTTCTATACATTTGAAAGCCCACCTTTTCCCATCAACTTTGGTACTTCTAACACTTCGCTTGTCATTATCTTGCCATGAACGGTGAACGGTGCCATTTTGGAAAATCCAAGTCTCATCTAAGAAGACAAACTGATAAATAGCCTCTTGTTTATTTTGTACGAATGATCTCAAAAAACTAACACGTTTAGATGCAATATTGGGAAGTTCCATGAGCCCTCGTTTGGGGTTATCTTTCTCCCATTTAAAGCCTATTTCTTCTAATAGTCTGCTTAACGACATACGACTGCCCTCAAATAATTGCTTAGCTTTTAATTGCTCCCACAAGCCAGACAGTGTTACATGTTGTTCTACAAAAAATCAATTATACATTCTCTAATTCAAAATATGTTTGTTGGGCAACTTACTGTTTTCATACATGTTGTAAATAGTATTACGAATACCACTTGTATTGAGCCTTGAAATATTAGTGACTCTCTTTGGAGTACATCGTTTTTTACGAGGAGATTGTAAAACTTCTTTATCTTTGACTGCCTGTGAAATACCACTTATAGTAGACACGTTTAATTTCAATGCTGCTGCTACACGCTAAAAATACGAAAAAGAAGATTAACCTTAATGTTCCTATTACTTATGCTATCAACAACCGTAAACTCACCTCCCTTACAGCAGTTAAAGGCAAAAGTGGGCCATTATTATCCCTTTCCCGTTCGAAGTATTCTAACAAGCATGATATGAGCTCTTTACACCGACTGTTAAGTTGTTTTGGCATTTTGGATACTTTACACCACTTCACAGTAACTGTTGTTCTGAAAAGAACAATTTTTAATTGGCAAGGCAACGATTCAAAGCTCAAATAGCGCAAAACTCACAAACTAAACAATAAAGAACTAATAGTACGACAAAAGGACAATGGCAACTGATGTCAACAAATGAGAAGTGGCAACCTCACATTTCTCTGCACGGCACTACCAACCGAATCGAGACGGGGAAATTTAAACTTCAAGTAGAAATGTCACATTTAATGTAGTCAACTGTTGGTAACCATGGTTTTTATGAATGACATCACCTATGACGTGCATCGGATTTTATTTGGTATCCACTATATAACTGTGTAAATAAACTAGTTACCTTATACCAACTTTGGAGAGATTTGCCAAAAAAAATATGGAATCAAAAACAAAAAGTGTTTGAGCAACGTCGACAAGAGTTTGTTACGAACTTGGGGATCTGTAAATAAATGAAGATAGAATCTTCTTGCAGCTGGGGTGGACAAAAAATTAGCCATAAAAGAAAAGGAGCGTCTTAGGAACACCGCAGAACAAAAGCAGCAAACATGTTGCTTCCTTAACTCCTTCGACATCATGTTACGAACCAGTGTAAGAAAATTCATCCTCAGATTCCGAGATGGATTTACAAGAAACTTTGCCCAGCCCAACTAAGAGCACACAGCCTAATACTAATCAAACTCAAATGAGGAAAGGTTTCATAACTCCAAAATTAGTGGCAACATTGGACAGGTGTCAGCATGAGAAATGCTGTTTTTATTATTGAAGCAACCACTGAGACATAGCACTGATGAGCAAGTCCTCCATTCAAAGAATTTGTACCGAAAAGCGAAACGAGCGCACAGAAGTTATAAAGCTTGGTTTCCAAAGCAATGTACTGAATACTGTGACTGTCCACTTGGATGGCAAATGGTTGACACCTTAAAATTCACGCAAATCTAAAGAAAAAAGTCTAGCGATTGTTATAACGTATGAAGCAACTTATCGCTGTGCCCAAACAGGATAGCTCTTCATGTAGCGAGAAGGCTAAGGCAGTTTGGGATGCTATTTCGACTGAAATATTGAAGATAAAGTCCAGATTCCCTGTTGTGATACTACTGCGTCAAATACGGATAACATTTACGGTGCCTGCGTGCTCCTTGAACAGAAACTTAATAAAGAAATAATCATTTTTACTCACCACCATCGCGTCTACGAATTGGTGTTAAAAGATGATCAAAGATCGACCAAGTGACTACAAGCCCTGACATTCCAATATTTAAAAAGTTTCGCGAGAGGTGGAAAAGTATGGATCTCGAGAAAATACAGATTTATATTGAAAAGCTATCATGCCTGAATATTTCAGAGACTGGCAAGTTGCTAGAATTTTATCGACATGAATTGACCAAAGAAGTTGCTAGAGACGACTATCAAGAATTCATAGAACTTTCAATAATATTCCTTGGCGGAAATACACAGAAAAAAATTAAGTTTCAACCACCAGACGCCATGCATCAAGCTCGATAGATGACCAGAGCAATCTATTCGCTAAAAATAGCGTTACTAAGTTCCCAACTCAAACTTTAGAATAAAGATAAGGCAGCTCTGTTAGATATCTGCCTGTTCATCGTGACAACATACGTAAAACCGTGGTTGAACTGCACTCTATCAGTAAAAGCATCTAACCAGGATTTATGCTTTTTAAATGCAATGAAGACTTACGAAAAAATTGACAAAACCGTTTCAAAACCAGCTTTACAAAATTATTGTATTTGACAGATGTCTTATCTCTGACGACCATGTAGATGAGGAAACTAAAGCAAAAATTAAACGCTACATCCAATCGAAAGAAGAACTTTCTGACCCACTTTATAAGTCTAGCGAATAAGTTTTCCTTTGTCTTTTTGTCAGCATAAACTGCGTTTCTGGCAATAGATGACACCTTATTTATGTCTTGTTTCGATAGATCTGATACCTCTGCTGGAGTTTAGTTGCTATACTTTCGTTCGTTTTCCTGACCTGAGGCCAAGCCTAGATGATGCTGACGAGTTGCCAAAAAGCACAAAACATCTGTCTACGGTTTACCGTCTGTGCTCGAACGGACAAAACCAGTATGTTTAGATGGTAGCTATTCTTCGTTTTTTCATTTCAGAGAAAAATATCGATGACTTTGTTTCAATCAAAAGCAAGTCCTTGTTCATTCGACTCAAAATTGATGACAGTTTTCTCGACGAGTATCCAACTCATGGCCACATAACGATTATATTCAACCTGCTGAGAATAAGGTACAAACACTAACAGCAGTTAACGATACGGCCGAAAGAGTAGTCAAGTTAATGCAAGACTTCCATGGCTTAATCGCTGCTGATGAGGAACAAAAACAATTTTTATTTCGTGACGTACAAGAACACAGGCAGGTATATCCTGACTGTAACAAGAAAATTTAGTAATGCCATCTTCATAAATATCTAAGAAATATAAGATACAAATAAAGCAGTGTTTTATGTGTCGAATAAGAATTCGGTTTTGAAATCCATACATGGTTTTGAGTGACGTTAATATCTCTAAGGGGCGTACCCCACAGGTTGTAAATCACTGTGACAATTCGATGATTATGAACACCTAACATAAACAAAATTCTATTGCATTCGAATTAAAATAATGTAAAGAAAAGTCGAATAGTTCCGTTTTAGTTAACACATACGAGTAAGTATATCAAAAAGCGTTAGAATTCATAGTATTTCCAGAAATAAACCGCTAATTAGATTCTAACGTTAAAATGCTTGATGATGCAGATTTAAACTCCATGTACCTAATACATAAGTCTTCGACTGGATCAAAGAATGAATGAAAAGTGAAGAGCTAATTTTCTTAACTACCGCTATTTTTCTTTGGCAGGTGATGAATATTTGTGTAAGTTACACACAGATGACATATATTTATCGAGATATTTAGAATGTGTGAATTATGATTCAAATAAAGCATTTGAAAAGGTAAGATCCCACGCTGATTAATTTCTTATTCACAATAAAATCAGATGTCTGTATCAAAACCAGTAGGCTTGCCACCGACTCTGATTTGATCGAGACAGCCCAGTGTTGATCGTCAAAACTAGAAGCCTTATTATGTACCGACACTAGATAATTATAAAAGTAATATAAATTTGAACTTTATATTTTGTACCATATCCACAACCTTTGAAACGTTAACTTTTCGGGGTCGTTCATTCTGATAAATGAACATTGCAAACTATTTCGTTTCTTATATTTTACAAATTTAAATCAAACCATTGTTAGAATCAACCGGAAATAGAACTTTTTGAAAATGGTATATTAAAAATATATCATTCTCATTCTAGATTTTGTCTGCGTACATGGTGTTCATTTGAAAACTTCCCATCACAGATTTATTGAAAACCACTGATTAAAAGGAAAAACGCCGAGACACGTCAAAAGATTTGTCAAGGGGGACAACTTTTTAACCAGAAACTAATTCACCCCCTGCCCACAAAAGCATGAGGATTATCATTGCTCCAATACCTGCAGTTATGCTTATAAACAAATTCATTTAGATAAAGTGTGCACTCATCACTGAAGCAGATATTCTTCACATGAATGGCATTATCATTAATCGCTGCAGTCATTTGTTCACAAAACTGAACTCTCCTATCGATATCATCTTCGGTTAGCTCTTGCAATATTTTCATTTTCAATGGATGAAATTTATGGAGTTTAGTAACCGTGTGCACAGAGCCTAATGAAATACCAGTGTCAGCCACAATTTTGCGCATAACGAACTATTAGGATTTATTCCAAAATGACCCAAAACTTCAACTTGAGCGGCTTTATCCAAAACTCTCCGATGATAACAAGGTCCAAAACATACATATGCAAAGTTATCTTCCCCAGATGTCTGGCGTTAAACGTGACGGCAGTTTGCCCAGCACATTGATTTTGGGCACCATAAATCATAATCATTTCCACTCTTTCGGCTAGTGTGTAAACCACTCGGAAGCAAAATCTGAATCAATAAATTAATTTTCACTATCCCAAGATTGCCGCAAAGCAAATTAAATTATTCCTTTCCCTTAGCTACAAATAACTAAACAGTTATAACAATAAATACAGTTCGCCCAGACGTCTGAGTTGATGAAAAGGATGCGGAGAAAATTCGGGTTGTTATTTGGTTGTTGCCACGTCTAGTCTTCCAAATTGCTGTATATGTTAGTAGATTCCGTTTTGCACCTTGATGCTTTTGAATCTTTTGTTGATGACATTTTGGCGATTGATTTTTTTGGTCCAAATGATTTTATTTTTCTTGGAGATTTCAACATTCGCAGTTACGTGAATAAAATGTTGGATGATTCTTTCAATAATAGCTACTTATAAGCTATCTCTAATAGGAGCAGTTTCTTTAATTTAGTCCAATACAGTCGTATTCGTAACGAATATGATCGTATACTGGACTTAGTCTTCTGTAATAATTCTGTTAATGTGAGAAATGCATCTGATATTCTTTTACCAGTAGATAGACACCATCCTCCGATAGAAGTGCTCTTTTCACTTCCGCGTTCTCTGAATAACTTACGCCCAAATAATCATAATCCGCAATATAACTTTAGGAGAGCAGATCTTCTTGCGCTCTACACCAGTATTATGGATTGAGATTTTTCTTTTCCATCTGACATCCTCGACATTAATAGTGCTTGTGACCTGTTTTATAATCAATTGTATAACGCTTTCGATAGGCACGTTCCATGCACATTACCAAAGGATAACAGGTACCCTCCCTCGTTTTCTCGTGCAATAATCTATCAATCAAAGAAACATCGCCTCTCGGAGCGATATAAGAGAACTTTGGTTAGATCTGACTATGAAGCTTTCAGTAACTTGCGAAGAGCCATCAAAGTCGATATAGACTTGGCGTTTTCTAATTTTGTTGCGGGAACTGAGCGTGCCCTTGCGCAAAACCCCGATCAATTTTGGTAATTTGTTAACTTGCGCTGCAACAGTTCAGGCATACCCAACAGTCTTTGGGAAATGAGGAGTTCAGGAATCCAAAGGAAATTGTTGATACTTTTGCCAAGTATTTCCAGTCCACCTACATCACGTCCTCTCAACCATCCGCCGATTGTTCCGTTGCAGAACATATATCGTATCTCCCTATAGTGACTATTAGTGTGGAGCATGTACGGAATGCAATAAAACGGTTAGCCTAAATGTTCCACTGGCTTGGATTCCATACCTTCATTTTTTCTAAAAGACTGCGCATATGTTCTTGCTGAGCCTTTGACATATCTTTTCAATTTGTCCTTGAAATCTGCAAGTCCTAGAAAATGGAAATTGTCTAAAATAACACCTGTTTTTAAAAAAGGCGATCGATCGCAGGTAGAGAATTACAGGGCTATTGTTATTTTAAGAATATTGCCAGCATTTTTGAGTTTGTTCTTTTTGATATTCTCTTCTCTCATGTAAGTCCCTCAATATCGACGAGTCAACATGGTTTCTATAAGGGTAGATCTACGTGTAGTAATCTGACATGTTTTAAGCAGTACTCCGCGTCAGTTCTGGATAATGGCGGGCAAGTTGATGTAGTCTATACTGACTTTTCGAAAGCTTTCGACCGTTTGGATCACGGTGTTCTACTGCAGAAGTTGTCCAAGTACGGTTCAACATCTAGATTCTTAGCTTTCTTTCATTCATACATCAGTGATAGTCAATTATGTGTGGACTTCAGTGGATATAAGTCTGGTGCAGTTTTAGCTACATCAGGGGTGCCCCAAGGTTCTGTTCTGGGTCCTCTATTATTTTTAATTTTTATCAATGATGTTACAACAGACTTGCGTTGTGAGTACCTGCTATATGCCGATGACCTCAAAATCTTTAATAGCGTGTGCTGCTTAGAAGGGTGGAACCGATATGTTTTAATTTTGAAATCGGTAGCAATGTTCTTTGTCGTGTTAATATCGTCAAGGATTTGGGTGTATTATTCGATCTGAAGCTTTCTTTTATTGATCACATTAATGCAATAATAGCAAAAGCCTTTAAAAATCTTCGTTTTGTTATAAGAAACAGTAGACATTTCAATAATACTAATACATTAATTTAACTTTTTCATGCTTTTGTCAGATCTATTTTAGAATACTGTTCGATTATCTGGGACCCGGCCTATGATATACAGTGTAAAAACATCGAGAGAATCCAACGTCGTTTTGTGAAATACTTATGGTTTAAAGATGATAGAGCGTACCCTGAAAGGGGTATACGCAATGACATTCTCTTAAGTAGATATAATTTACATAATTTAGTCAAACGTATGAATCTGTTAGCTGCTAATTTTTTATGTAATTTGTTGAATGGAACAATTGATTGCCCTTTTCTTCTAGACAGAATCTCTCTACGCGTTCCCGATTTGCGTACTCGTCATGATGGTAACAACTTATTTTATTTACCTGTTCCGCGGACAAATATATTGTTATTTTCGCCTCTTTATGTTATGTGTAAAGTCTGTGACAGTGTAAGTGAACTTGATATCTTTAGTTCCACCAAAATCGATCTCAAGAGGTGTTTTTTAACAATTGGATAATTTTCATTTATGTCTTTTTTATCATGTACTGTTTAGAGTTTTGTTTTTGTATCTTTTTTTGTTTTTTCCCTGCCTGTTAATTGGATCACTCTGTTCAGGCAGTGTATGGATTATTATAAATAAAAAGATATTATAAATAAATAAAATAAATTAGAATTGTCGATTCGGCAAACCCTAACGGGCAACATTTTGAACACTTATTAAAATACAAATTGCTATTTTAGTGTGTTTTTGTTTTCTGTCTGAACCAATTAAATAAAGATTTTTCTAATTTTCTCGAACACGAATCGACTGATTGTAAAAATCAAACGTCAAAATAAACGAGTTCGAACGCCCTTTTAAACAAGTTATTACTCGTTACGCCTTGTCGTTTAAAAATTTTAAGGGAATGACACTGGGGGGCCGAGGGTGAGAGGGGTGAAGTAGTTTTTGGTTAAAAAGTTGTCCCCCTTGACAAATCTTTGACGTGTCTCGTGTTTCGATAAATCCGTGGTGGGAAGTTTTCAAGTGATATAATGTATTAATGAATATTTTATAATTATTAGATGAAATCATTTTATACATTTCTGCAAGACTCACCAGAGTGGTTTACAACAGGATGTCCCATTGACAAAAAGGAGTTAGTAGATAAGGACATGAGGATAGTTCCAAAAGAGTATGATAAAGCAGGAAGGCCCATCTACATATTTAAGCTTGGTAAGTTGATTGTGAGAAGAATATCCTTTCAGGGAAATAACAGTTGCACCATATTTGTTTTTAGCGACGTACGACAAAATAATATACCGGGTGTGTCAAATTTAACCCTCACCATTGAGATCTCGAAAACTCCAAGAGATATTAAGTCGGTTAATTATTGGGGGAAATATTTTATTTAGTAACTAAGAAAAATGGCACTCAGAAAATCTCAAAATTCAGAGTATTTTCGAAGATGAACGCAAGAAAAAACGAACTAGATTATTTCTAGACATTCGAATGTTCACGATATCAATCCATGTCTATATGTACCAAATCACACTATTAAAATCGAAAATAGGGACTTTTTACTAACATATGCCCAGTTCATAAAATAAGAAGGAATGCTTGGAAATAATATTATGAAACAAATAACTTATAGCCCTCATAGGAAATACTGTATTTTTCGCCATTATAGTTTCAAAATATGAATACATAGATTTGTGAAATCAGAATTGAGAACTATATACACCTGTGTAAAAATACAATAATCCGAATTAAATCTTGTTGAATGCATCCAAGAACTAAGAATACGTTTGATGAAGCTGCACATACGATCTAGCTCATTGGCAGAAGACTTTCAAATGATGTGTTACTAGCCTGTTCTTCCTGTTTAAAAATGCAGCACCCCCGACTCTGGGGTATTGAATTTTGGCATGCATTTTTACACAAGATTTAGTTCTTGAACCTAAAATTGAATGTTGAATGTTTCATAAATATGCATCATCATCGAGATAACGAATTTATTCAAGTACCTATACTTATAGGTTATTACTAAATGGTGTGTATGCGGTGTGCATAATAAAAACACTATTTCGATTGAAAAAACCCACTCAGATATCCGCATTTATGACTCTTTTCGGTAAACTTATCGCCCTGTATTCCCGGGGCACCGTCGTATTATAAGGCAAAATTTCCATTCACGCCTCGCCTTTTTGCAAGCGAATGAAACTTTATATACTTGGGGCGCTGAGTTCAAAAATGTTAGTAAGAAATGATCAGGTGTCATAAGACTGAATTTAAGGTCGAAATTGGGATATTTAGGACATCCTATGAGTCCTAGGGTTAAGCTGACGTCGGATTTGGAACCCACACATCCAATATACGAGAGAAACTTGTTAACCTCCTAATCACAAATGCACAGAGGTAAACTAAAATTTCCGAATAGAAAACCTCGGATAATGAGAGGACTTTCCGAGGTTAAATTTCCATTTTCCTATCTCCCCTATCCCACTCTGTGTGAAGCAAATGAAACTTGGTATTCTTTTAAATGCTAAATATAAATATAAACATCACAAAATCGTAGAGTGTTATGTTGCGAAATTTAACAAAGGTTCTGAGTCGCTTTGGACTACTCATAATTCCTACCATCCAACTGACGTCGGATTTCAAATTTACGCACCCGATTCACCTACAATACAGGAACTAAAATACTTTATTACTAGTTTACAACAAGATGACTCGGAAGTTCGCTTCAACTGCTCTTCGCTGCCTCACTCCCAACTGCACTACGTGTGGCCTCCTCTAGAAAATTTGGACTTCGTCATTCTTAGTTCCAGAAGTTCTAGATTCGGATCTAGCAGTCGGCGATCAGATTAATAGCTGTTGGTTGTTCTCGCTTAGCAGATATCGACTCTCGACGTCTTCTAGGCGATTCTCATTGTCGCCTACAGATGACGTCACAAAACTACTCCTGATCCATATAACACATATGTAGTCATTTTTGAAAATTTTCTCCTAGAAAATCTCGGTAAATCGTAGAAATTCGTAGGGTAAAATAAATGTAAATTGGATCGCTTATGACATCGAGATTTTAGCCCATTTAATTAATCCTTTTTATAGGAAAAATCGATCCTAGAATAATGGACCTGGCAGAAGACGTTGTACCGGTGGATGATTTCTACCTAGAAGCTCTGATGTTAGATGACTGCGTGGCCAAGAAAGGGCTATGTGTGATTGTAGATATAGCCAATTTTCCTTGGAGAGTCATGAAATGGCTGACACCGCACAATATAGCAATGTGTATTAAAAGAATACTTACGATGCCGATCAAAGAATATCGGTTTCATGTTGTCAATGATTCGTTCCTTATTCATGCTGCCATCAAGATTATTTGGCCGTTCCTGCCGCAATATCTCAAGAATTCGGTACGTATCAAAGCACACGATAACGAAGACTATCTACCTACTATGGATAAGTAGAAATTGTTCCTATATAACTTATGTATGTGGCACACACTGTGTCGGATATGGAGAGAATATCATATCTTCATCAATTGTATTCAAAATTTATCCTGGAAAAAGTAGGTACAGAGATACTCTTGGATACAACAATATATGCTGATGACTGTTAAATCAAATCTGGAATATAGTCAATTTTTGATTTCAAAAATCAATTGTTTAGCGTAGAATGAAGTTTTACTTCGAGTATTAATCCTTAATTATTATAATTCATATAGCTTCTTGATTAAAAATATTAATACCTTCATCGTTGTATAAATCCGTTAATGTAATTATTAATTCTGTTGTTCATTCTTTAGTTTGGCATTTTCAAGTTCCGCATGCTTCATCAAAGTTTATTTTATTAGCACTATTGCCAAGAATTTTTTATTGTCTGTATGATGGTTCCTTTTTGTTCAATAAAATGTCCCAAAACCTCCTACAAGCTGTACAATACTTGTGTACTATTTTTATATATCCAAAATTATAATAGTTGAAGAGATATTACATATTTACAAATTATAATAAAACGCCTTTCAAACGGGTGAAGTTAGCAAGATAAATTCATTGTGACGAATAAATACTATATTTTAGCCTAAAAGTGGCAGTTGAAAACGGAATGTGGAATTATGAGGTACTCGATTTTGAGGCGTCGTATGTCTATTTCACGAGTATCCATCCCGCTTTGATGTCTACTGAGGTGAACAGCTGGTCAACAAGTGACGCCTTTGTGTTAGTCTATAACATTGGCAATAATAAGTCTAGTGTAAATCTAGTAAAACTTGAAGCATTTTTTTGTACGCAAATGAACTTTTCTAAATAAAGGTAAAATAAGGTTTCGGCTGACCCCTTATTGAGTTTTAAAACAATTTCCAAGATGACGCTCAACCGCCATCAAGAGAAATTTTCAACTGCCACGTTTACGTTAAAATATAGTATTTATGCATCACCGTGAAATTCATCTTGCTAACTTGGAGCTGATAGGTAACGACCGTGATACCGCCTCAGATATAATACTGGATTGAACCAGCCCATGGCTAGAACTGTACTAATACGTGAAGATGTAGATCCGCACATAGTATAAGCTATGAAAAATTAATAAAAAGTGCTACGACAGTGGGTTAATGGCAGCTGACACTGAACATCGATAATTTTCACTACATCAAAATGACATAAGCTTTCCTTGGAACGCGCTTACATATTTTTATTTATAATTTGTTTTCATGGTTTGTCATTGAATTGTGTATCATATAAGATACATAGCTTAACAGCAAAAATATTTTGTTTCTATTATAGAACCAATATGTTGGACTAGTTTCCATAATTGAACAGCATTCCTTGTAGGTTTTATTCCATTTCGGGAATCTAGATGGTCTGCAGGAACATATAAGTAAAGAGGTTCTTCCTCATGAGTATGCAGGGAACAAAGAAATGGATTTTGACTATCAACAATTCATCTACGAGAAGAATTCATTGATAGCAAAAAGTTTTAAAATCAATAGGAAAATGTATTTAGAAAATGTAAAAGATGTAAAATGTAACAAGATGAATAAAAAATAAGTTGTACGTTTTTATTTTAATCCCTTTCTAATTCTAAAATTCCTGCCAAAAATTAACAGGGTAATTCAACACTTAGTCAGTTTCAAAGTAAGTTTTAAGTTTTTGCATGGCCTTTACACTACTTGGTTAAGGTTCAAAGCAAATTATTTCATTGTATCAATGGCAGTTTTATTGTTCATAATTTTTTACAAAAGTAATTGTATACAAAATCAGTGAAAAAGTATATATAAACGTCAATCTGTAACCCCAAATGAATATTCACCAACAAATAAGACTACATTAAAAGTAGTAACAGGCACATTGAAATCCTCAGAGTATATAAAGTGAGGCAAGTAGGGCATGTCATCTGTTATAAGAAAAAATGTTTTGGAAAATTTTATTGCTGCATTATCTGTTTGTCTTTAACGATTCTTCTATAAACTGAAGTAAACAAAGTACCACACAGTACCAAATTGTGATAATTTTTGTGAATACTATATTGCTTAGTGAAACTGTCCTACTATTTCATTTGATTCGTGTTAATTTTACTAAATTTCCCATAGTGTGTATATATATATGTTTCTCTTATCACTTTTTTTATTTTATCGCCGCATCCTGCTTGGGAATCTGTATAAAACTAATACAACCTAATCAAAATATTTGTATCTGTATAACATACGCCTATCATAGGAACCTAATGTTATTTTGCTTTTTAGATTAATGACAGTACAAGACTATTTTCACCTACTTCATATGGAGGTATTTTTGAGGAGAGTCATAAAAAGTATTAAATACCTTTTACAAGTACCTGATGTCTATAAGCTTAGATAATTATTAAAAAATATTCTACTTAAATGCGATATGTACACGAAAAATACTGAAACAACTTTTGCAACAATCTAGCAACACGTATAGCCTAAAAGAACAACAGATATAGTGTACCAAAGAGAAATAACGTAAAAACGTATAATACTCTTATATCAAACTGAGTTTCCCACAAACACTGTTATATACATAAAACCAAAATAAATTCTTAATTATTTTAAAAATACCCTAATTTCGAACAGCTGGGTCCTTTTGTCTAGCTAAGTGATCTTCATAACCCTCTGCATCATCTGAAAAAAACTTAGAATAACATAAGACACTCATAACAGAATATTTACATACCATCCTCTTCATTTTCAAGCTCTTTATAGTCTTGTTGATCATTATCTTGATTCTTTTTCTCCTTATTTTGTTCTTTTTCCAATCCCACTTGTAATTTCTTTACATTTTCACCATTAGACATCTGGTTTTCTCCTGCTTCCCCAAACCCAATACCTTCTAGATGATTTTGGGGAGGGTCAAATACTTCATGAGCACCATGGTCCGCATCATCTTTTGCTATTGAAAAATTAAATGATAAGTACAAAAAAAAGTTATTCATGGTAGCGTAAAGTGGACGTTTATGGCCCGAGGCACGAAATTTTAGCCAAAGGTGCGAAGCGACGGGGACTCTCAACACGCCACTAGACATAAAAGCTCATTATGCCTCAGATACATACTGAATTTTATCTACATTCGATTACAGGTTAAGTCAAAACTGTAGATTAGCCTTTAAGTGGACATGAAGATAGATAACTTGACAATACTCTATATCATCAGGTAACAGTTGTAGTCTAGCAACAAATCAACAGGGACATGGTTGTAGTCACCGTTCTTGGCGGTTACGTCATCAACGCCATATGAAATAACTAAACAGATCGAGTCTCCGTACCATGGGCGGAACACTGCGCAGACTATTCCTGAGCACATCTGCTACTCTCTCCAGTACGCATGAGGTGGGTTACAGGGAACCGCTGTTTGTATTCTCTCCCTAAAATTCTCGAATAAATTTAGCACGAGCTCTCGGCCTTCTCCATTGACCGTATTTCCAGGAATTGTACAGTTTTATATGGAAAAATATAACAGGACAACTCAAATTGCACGCAGGTGTCAAGTTAAATGTCACTCTGACAAATATGATTGAAGGGCACTCATATGTAACGACAAAGTTTTCGAGATGGAGACTCACAGCTAAAAAACGTATGTCTTTGAGCTTACTGATCAAACGTTCACACACAGGGGTAGATTGCATGTGTATGTATGAGGGTGATGGAAATATGAAAAGGGATATTGTTAGTCTTACTTTGACCCGCCAAGAACGGTGACTACAACTATAGTAATCATTGTGAATGAGCTGATTCCAAGATAGTAGATGCTCAAGTTCCAATGCCCAAAAAAACAATTCACAAGCATAAAGTATGCTTTACCACCCAGTTATAGCTAGATTAAATAACAACCAACCTGGTTCTTTGTGTTCAACTGCTGCCTGATTAACATTTTGATATCTATTATTGTTAATCTCTACCTGAGGTTCCTCACTTTTCTTTTCTGGAAAAGCTACCACACCTTCAGGTAACTTTTTTGTGTCTGGTGCTGGTAGTACCTTAGGTTTCAAACTATCTGGTGTGACAGTTGGTACCAATAAAGGTTTTGCATTATCTAAGGCACCAGGAGAATTTTGAAAACCTTGAAAGTAAACAGCATAATAAACATAGCACCATTGAATACTTATAAAAAATAACAATATTAACAACTTAACCAGCTAAATTGAAATTTTCAAACTTCCTTAATTTTAAAGTGGTACTCACCAGATTTTGTAGATGATTTAGAAGATGCAATGTTAGCTTGGCTACTGCTAGGCTGTTTCAGAACATTGTTTTTATTAAAAAAGTTGTTGTTGCTATCAGCTGCTGAACTCAGTTTAGGCTTTGTAGATGATGTGTCATCCATTGCCCTAGGTTCTTGTATTGTATCTTGGAATGAACATTTTTCCTGATAAGAAAATTTTTCATTGATCGTATAAGAGATAAAACTGATTACAAGTATCTCATATAATACCTACTTTCAACTGTTGCAATTCTTGCTTTAGGTCCTCATTCTCCTTTGTCAGATGTAGGATTTGGCTCTCATTTTCATTTTTGTTACTATTGCTTTGTTTAAGTTGTTTATCAATGTTTTCTTTTTGCACTTGAAGTTCTATGTATTCAGTCTACAAGCCACAATGTTTGTATTATATGGTCAATAAAAGATCCAGATTATTTCTTTTAAATGTAGTCTTACAGAATACCAGAAAACATGAACAATAAAAAATTATACCTTAAGGCTTTCTTTTGAGGCTTTAATTTTCTTTATTTCTTCCTTCAGTTCTTCTATTTTAGACTGAAGATCATTGATTTCTTCTTGTTGTTTTTGTTGAGTTTTACTACACTCTTCTTTATAGTCCTCATGTTCAGTCTAAATGCAAGGACAAATTTTAGGGAGATATACCTAACTATTACGAAAAACTTGTCACTAACTTTAATATAAAGACTCTGTACTTTATAAACTACAGCTACAATGCTAATTATTTTTCCAAAAAAGTAATTAGTTATAATAAGAACAAAAACATGGTAAGTTTGGACCCTGTATTTTAGTAGTTTGATTTTAACTAACCTGTAATATATTATAATGCTGCTGAAGGGAAGAGAATTTTATCTTCACATCTCCAAAACTTTTCTCATTTTTTGTCCTTTCTTCATTCAGCTGAGCTTCTAATGTAAGTTTTGTTTGCTGATGATCAGTTTTCTCAGCCTTCAGGCTTTTCTCAATTCTTACTTTGTAGTCTGATATAACTAAAATTATATGTTTCAATAGTTTTTCCTGCTACAGCATAGTAACAATAAACAATATAGATCTGAATTATTTATAAAATAGTGAACTTAAAACAAATCAACTTACAGCAAAGTGCATTGTTTTACTGCTGGGTACAAAATCAATAATATAACATTATAGATTTTGTAATGGCTATTAAGATACATAAAATAGTTGCTAAACGAAAATGTAAGTCAAAACTCATGAAGAAATAAGCAGAAATAGAAATAATATATGTTTAAAAATGGAATGCAGATGCTCATCAAATGCTGTTTTTCAACTCACAAAACCACATACCATAGTCTTGGTAGTTTGTAAATAGGTTTCAAATATTATTCTAGCTTTTGATTTTATTTGCTTTATCTTATTACAATAGATATTCTGCCATGATAAGAAAGAGTGTACATTTGACTAGCAACTATTCAATCTGGAACAATATATGTTTCTAGTATCTTGCATCTGCCACTTGGGACCAATATGTTGACAAATGGGAATCTACAATAAATTCACTGGCTGTCCTCAAAACTGGTGTCAGACACTCCTTGTTAAGATACCAATAAAGTCATATAGTATTAATGCTACATTGCTCTACAATATGGAAAGGAAGATGTTACCTTGAAGTTGTGTGCCGAGATTCTCCTCTTGTTGGTGACATATTTCATTGGACCTTCGAACATCGTCTAATTGGGATAGTGTATTATTATAGCAAGCTATAATAGCCGTTACAATAAATATACCGCAAACGTACAGGACTATTTTGGCTCTGGTGCCGCGTATGATTCTTGAAGCAGTCATTACATTTAAAATGGTTCTAATACCTTTGCTCAAATGTCCAGCTTTCCACTGTGAATGCACGGTTATTCCACTCGATGAATGTGAAACGATGAAAGGGTACACTTATGTTATTAATATTTTATTTGATTCAATCATTATTTTCACATCCTTCACAAATCAAACATGATAAAAGACAAAACAATTCAATCAACCATCACCCATCAGCGTTGCCAGATTCGTCGCGGGGAATTATCGTACAAACACGTCAAAATTGTCGTACATTATCTTACACCGGGCCTTAGATTCTCTCAGGATTCATGATGAAGGAAAATTTGTCTCGGGGGGGGGGGGGGGGGGGGGGGCTCTTTTGTTTCCTACTCTTTCCTATAAGCAAAGATTCCGCTCCTTTTTTTGTTTTGTTTTCTGTATTCGAGAGTATCGCATCTTTTGTTGTGCTTCTCTCTTCCAGAGCAACTTGATTTGGAATCCGACATATTATCGTTATTGAATTGAAACCGGTTAAATATCGAAAATAACTGAAAACGATCTTTTGATTTTTAAGTTTGAAAAGTCATAAAAACGGCATTCATTTCATCTAATGCACATGGGTAAATAAAAATATGTGCGTCATGTCAATACATAGAACGTGAAAACTGTATGACGGCAATTTTTCCCGTTGATGTTTGCCGAGATAGTCCGCGTAATGATAGGCAACCCATTATACAGAGTGGGGTACGCGCGCTTGTCTACCAAGCGGCAACACTGACAGTGGGACCAGCATGTGCTGATGTGCTGTACTTGAGAAAAAAAATAGATTTTGATGATTTACAAAACATTTGTGGTGCCCCTTTTGGTATATGGCATATTTGTGTGGGGTGGGATGTACTGTTCAAATCTTGGGCAGAATTATTCTAAAAAACCTAGATTATATCCCACTATGCAAGAAATTAAGAATATTAAAATCTTATAAATATATCCTTGCAGTATATGTAGTTTTTTTTTGTACATGCAAATAAGAAATTAAATACCAATTTTGTGTCCCATAATTATATCTTGCACCTAAATTTTACAATTTTATTCCTTCTAATATCAGGAATATTGAAAATAATAAAAAGTTTAATGTTTCATTTAAAATGATCTGTTGGGAAAATCGTGGACAATTTATGCGTTTATTTTAAGTTGCTTTCAGGTAGGATGATCTGTCTATTTGTTTCTTTTCTTTTTTTGTGATAAACTTGTGATACGTTTTTTCTGATATTCTAATGTTTACGTAAATGTCCAAAAGAGATTGGGTGGTGGAAAACCGCCTGACTAAATCCAACCAATGACGACGCAGAAGGAATAGCGGTACCGGCGCACGTACCGGCGTACTACACGCTGCGGGCTAACGCGCGTCTCTTCAGTTATCGGTTGGCGTTCAGGGAGCGTGGTGCGCAGAGACCTCCATGCAACGCTCTGCTTCTGTTCCACTCGTTGTGTGCCGGGAAGTCTTTGTCCGCGATTTTTCGCAGTGTCGTCGTGTCGCGATGGTGGTGTGAGTGATTTTGTGGTAATTGTGTATGAAGATTTGTTGTGGTTGTTCATAAAATGCGAGTGGAGTATTTTCACGTTTGATATTGAGCATTTTTATGGCCTTCCTGAGCTGAATGTTTTTAGAGCAGACAAGGTGAGTTAAGCATAGTCATCTACTTCTGTGGTAGCTTGGACCTCGTAATGTCAAGGTTGACTTATTTTGTTGTGGTCAAAAGTCATTAGCAATTTTTCTCTTAAGTTAAACGTTTTCATGTTTGAAACGATTAAAGTTCTGAGAAACCTTAATAATAACGATCTTCAATACTTTAAAACGCGGGTTAAAATCATCGTCGAGCTGCCGTGCGTCTAAGTTAAATTTCGCATATTTTCGTTCAAAACTCCGAGGAGTATTTTAAGATTAGTATATCTTGAAGTATTATTACTTAATTGTTATCAACGCGAGGTGCGTATTCCAATGCGCGTTATTATTATTAACAATGAAATAGCAGCATTTCAAAAATACGCCAAGTAGGAGAAGGTTTGAAGTTTACATGAGAAGTAACATGAGAGAACATTTTTAGGGTCTTTCAAATATTCAATCGCTTATAACTCGAAAACGACCCTTTTAGAGTGAAACTATTTTTATTCACAATGATCCAAAGAATCTAAAAACACTTTGTACGGGCCAAAAAGATGTTTTTTGTAGTTTGTAATTGTTTACACTTTGCAGCGAGTTACCTCCAGGCAACCTAATGATTCATTCAAACATCGAGATGGAAAATTTATCCCACGAATTTTTTCGCCTCGTCTATGTAAATACATAATAAGTAGCACACTATGATGTACAAATACTTACAAAAAAGTGAGGTATAATGCACGTAAATACCGATTATATTACGTGTTCATATACATATCATTCGTATATAAAGTTGTTTACAATTTTTTGTAGTAAATAAATACCTCCATACCATTTTTCAGAGGATGAATTTTTAATATTTGCCATCCATTGCACTAACGTATATTCATGTTGTATCTGGGCTTGCATCTACTACTTAGTAGCAAAAGTGCGAACTAAAGAAATTGAGTTCTTTGCCAAAGTCCTATAGGACTTTGTTTATTATTGGCAGCAAGCCCAAAATCCCAGATCTTTATTTTCAAATATTCTGGCAATATTATACATCACTCTTTAATTCTGAGTGGAACTTTTCTTTTTGAAGTATGTTCATTAAAAAATCAAGAACTAATTCTTTGCCCTTAAATCGTTTCGAAAGTGCAGGGTGAATAAGAATTTTGAAAACGTAACGTGTCGCAAGTGTATTATACAGGGTGTCCCAGAAATAACACGTCAGAGTGACATGGGACCTAGATTGGCTTCAGATCAATTAGATAAAATCAACATGATGTAAACGTTCTCTATTTTTGGAGATATTGCCACTTTCAAGTCTTTCTAATAATAATAACACGTGTGTAGCACTTAACACAAGGAGCAGTACTAAATTAATCATGCGCATGTGGTGACATAATGCTACCACCGAACAATGAATTTGAGAGCGATATAGCCAATGACATGTTTAGGTCGTTTCATTCCCTAGTGATTTGGTTACAAAAACGGCTGCACTGATCTTTCATTTGCAGTATTTCGCAAGTATTACGACTTCAGTGATAAAACTTGGGATTATTCAATTGTTAATAGAAATAACCTACAAATGTTATACTATTTTTAAAAGAGCATCACACATTGAAACAAAATGTAACAATTTTTTTTTTAGCATACCGTGCTAGTTTTCAATGAAATGAATACTCAACCTACTATTAATGGTAGCTCAGGAATGAATTATATGTTAGAAGTTCTTTATAGCCATAACAAGCAAAAAGGGGGCAAAAGATAGTGATGAAAAAACAAAGTCAATATTTCGAACACTAGAAAACTTTCACCAAGGTCATGTTGATTTTACCTGATTGAACTGAAGAAAATCTACCTTCCATGTAATTCTGGTGTGCTATTTCTGGGATATCCTATATTTGTGTTGTCACACGGAAGATCTGCTTTAGTAGACCTTATGCAATATTAGGATAATTAATAAACAGTAGTAAAAAAGAGTATGTAATAAAAACTAAGCTACAAAAACCCAAAAGGTTTTTCTTCTTATGGAACTAACTGTCTTTATAATTTATACTGTTGAACAATAAAAATATAGCTTTCTGTAAGATTGTCGCTAAATAGTGGTTTCTGAAATATTCTGAACTGTTCGTTTTTCTTTTGCCAAAATGCTCCATAAGAACAAGGATACAAATACAGGAAAATAAAGTGATTATTCATTGTCTGACGACAATTTTTCATTTTCATATTTTGATAATTTATTGGCAGTGGCTCATCGTTGGTAACTACGACCTCCACGGACATGCAAGGGGTATGTTCCATGTGCGTGCGAACCAGTTTTAATAAAATGTGCTAATATATTATACCGATTTTATTTATACAGGGTGTCCCAGAAATAACACGCCAGAGTGACACGAGGGGTAGATGAATCAGGTAAAATCAACATGACCTTAGTGAAAGCTTTCTAGTTTTCCAGATATTTCCACTTTTAAGTTTTTTCAAAAAAAATCCTACGTTTGGTTCTTTTTCATCCGCTTTGGCTATGCTCTTTTATAGCATGCGAAAACGCTCGATAGATTAATTTTACCACTCGAATTTCCTGCCCAAAGTGTCGGAGTGATTGACTTAATAACGTAGTACTTGTATACTCATTTTGTTTCTACTTGTTCCAGCGACTAGAGCAGTTTGCTGAAATGTAAGTGCATTTATAGTTTTCTTATTGGTGTCGGGCTTACAGGCGACTACGAAAGAGAGCTGGTAGGTTGTAAAACCTACTGATTGTCGACTCTTCATGTTGCCCTCGACCAGGCAGGGTGCTCCATTTAGATAGTTAGGAATCACTAAGAAACGCCGTCAGTTCAGTAGAAAGGTCAGGAAAAATAATAACAAAATGCTATCACACGGTTGGAAACTTTGAAAGTAGAGAGAATCGGAAGAATCATATTAAGCGTACGCTTCAGAAACTCCAAATAAGTGGTCGGTAGTAGCGAGTAGATACGGATATGTTAAGGAGTTTTGTTTGGGCACTGTGCGATGTGGGGGCACAGCGAGGGATACAGACAACATGCCCTTGCTCATTTATGCAGGGGTACATTCGAGGTAAATGTGTTTTCATCAATAGGACTTCTGTGTAATATATTTTCACAATTTATCAAAAAATTTATTTCGTACTGCGAGACGTGCAAGCGATATTTTCCACGCGCGTGCGAACCAGGTTTTATAACAGGAGTCAATATATTAAAGCGAACTATTTTATGTATATTCATTTGTTTAACCAGATTATTCGAAAACATGAGTACAATACAATGGAAGCAATTAAACTACGAAAATAATACCAGCGTAACTTTTATTTAGATAGAACAAAGCTTTATAGCCGTTCGCATGCAGAAACGCTTTTTCTGCCCAAACTGTGATAGTGGGAGTTGTAATAACCTAGTATTGCTGTTTCTACTTTTTATAGAGACTATAGCAGTTTGCATGAATAAGTATTTAGGATTTTCTTCGCCCAGACATGGTGCCCCTTTTTGGTTGGGCATTCTGCGATGTGGTGCCACGACGAGGGACACAGTCAACTCTCCATCATGCCCTTGCTAATCATCAGCGGTAAATATGTTTATATATTTTATACAGGACTTCTATGTTTTAGGTTTTCTCGTACATTTTTCTTAAGTACGGTTGGACTTGGTTATTGCCTTCAACTAGCAAAGCTGTGATAAACTTCAACGATTGCACAGTGCAAAAGTCCATCAAGAAGAGAAAAAAGTGAAGGAAGGAATTCCTCTGGGTCCATGGCCGAGCTGTTAAACAGATATCCAGGATTTAAAAGATCATCGCTAGGTATTAATATGGTGTTAATGTAAGTACACGCAAGTATGGCCACAAGATCACGATACACTCCAGCTACTGTATTAAAAACAATTATTTTTATTATTATTACATTTTCGGAGAGACTTGGAAAACAC